GTTCTATAGGAATACGTTAGCGTAACAACTTAAATCTTGCCTTCTGTGTTCTATAGGAAGCAATACGTTACGTAACGACTTAAATCTTGTCTTCTGTGTTCTATAGGAATACGTTAGCATAACGACTTAAATCTTGTCTTCTGTGTTCTATAGGAAGCAATACGTTAGCGTAACGACTTAAATCTTGTCTTCTGTGTTCTATAGGAAGCAATACGTTACGTAACGACTTAAATCTTGTCTTCTGTGTTCTATATGAATACGTTAGCGTAACGACTTAAATCTTGTCTTCTGTGTTCTAGAGGAAATAGAACACAGAAGACAAGATCAAGAACCTTAAAGAGGGTTTATTTTCACTGTTATTCAATCCCAAAGAGGCGATAGATGTTAATGGCTATAAGAATTTGGAATCAATTTTTTGCGGACTTTTTTAAATATTTTTTCTGTGTGAATAAAATGCTTTATTCTGTAACACGTCTTGGAAAATATTCTCAGTTATTTAGACTCCAAAGCTTTAACAGGTATCCATATGTTGTGTGAAACTCAAGAGGTTAAGTGTTTCTATTTTTTCTTTATTTCCTATTAATAGAAATAAAACTATATTATCGACATATTTTATGTACTTACGTTTTATATGTTTATCATGTTTTTTTATGCACTAAATATTTATCACAATTATTTACCTATGCAATATGTGTAATTATTATCCATGATACTTATATATAATTGCCCCCCAAGTGGCTCAGCGGTAAGTCTGAAGTGGACACAGTACAGATAGCCTATTGTGTAGCTTTATGCTTGAAAAGAAACAAACAAACAAAAACTTGTACATATTAAGTACGAGACTTCGGATTGTTTAAAGTCTATAAAGTAGTATTACTTTAGTTTGCTAGTTTACCACTAGATGGCGACGCGTATTAATGTTTGTTTGTTTGCTTGAAATTAAGCACAAAGCTACACAATGGGCTCTCTATGCTCTGCCCATCACGGGTGTCGAAACCCGATTTCTAGCATTGTCAGTCCGCAGACATATCGCTGTGCCAATGGGGGGGCGTATTAATGTTCATGTATTTTGTCAGTAAAGCGTTTCATATATTTTTTCTTCTGCAGCTTGAGAAAACAGAGGGTAAACAGAAATGCAGGGATCCTTATCAAGGAATTTTAATAGTGTAAGTAAAGACCGTTACTTGGGAATGAATTTATGTAATTATATTATTATTAGTTACACATTTTGTCATTGAAATACTTTTTGACCTGATTTAGTTCATCATCATTACCTTAACGTTTGCCCTCCATTTGATTGTGGGGTCCGCTTTATGAGTCCTCATCTTCCAATCATCCCGATTCATCACCGTACATGCTCGCCCTTTCAGCTGTGGGGGCGGACCCGGCATGACCAGGTGGTTAGGGCGCATGCTTGCCCTTTCAGCTGTGGGGGCGTTATAATGTGACGGTCAATCCAAATACTCATTCGTAAAAGAGCAGCCCAAGAGTTGGTGGTGGGCGGTGATGACTAGCTGCCTTCCCTCTAGTCTTTCACTGCTAAATTAGGGACGGCTATCGCAGATAGCCCTCGTGTAACTTTGCGCGAAATTAATAACAAACAAACAAACAAACAAGCATCAAAATGATTGAATGTACAGAGCTCAAAAGTTTCATCAATTCTATTGATATAAACTGTAATGTTTTTTATATAATAAAAGTGATACCGATGTTCTCGATGTTACATTCGCACCTGTACTTACAGCATTGTCTTTGGTAGAGTTTCTAGTTAATCATTGTGTGTCTCCTATCATTTGTGCCATTCTTAGAGAGTTTCGTAAGTATTCGTTATTAACAATTACTGGATTACACTACTACTACTGGGCATAGTATGACTGTTTATAACTTATAGACTTTATACAGGTGTCACACTTTCTGATTGGCTGAATGACAACCAATGACAGTGTAAACTACCAACACGTGACACTACTCTGGTGCAATTCATTTTCACACACAATAAAAGGTTTTTGTACCCTTTACCTCACCGTTTCTCTAGCCATTGCCAGTTCTGTTTATATATAGATATTACCATTTTTAAATGCGTACTGGATAACAATAGCACGTCTCAATCTTCGTACGAGATACATAATTAGAGCCATAGGATGACGTGAATTTGATGGTTAGTAAGTAATTTAATTTTCATATGTGATATCAAATTAATTTTCCATTATAACTTTCACTGCTCGTTGTAACGAAAAGGAGCCGGCTTGATGGCTAGGGTCGCAGGTTCGAGTCCCCGTCACGCTCGCTTTTTCAGCCGTGGAGGCGTTATAATGTGTTAGTCAATCCCACTATTCGTTAAGAGTAGCCCCAGAGTTGGCGGTGGGTGTTTTCCGTTTAATCTATAGCCTTAGAATCTTGATTTTTTTTCATATCCTAGTGTAATGTAAGTAATGCAATACGACGCTGGTCTCGTTTCATTATTCAGAGTACTCTGTTTTTTAGTTTCCTTTCGAAAATGTAACGGTTTTAATTCTATATTATCGTGAAAAACGTAATCTAACAGTTTCTCTTCCAGCAAATTCAATTTGTGTCTGTGTGTGCGTTTTTGTTTGTTCTTAGTTAAGCAACTTCAGAAAATTAGTGTGATACAACGAAACTTTTTTTTTTTTGCCTTACAGTTGCCCTGGTAACGAATATTTTTGTTGTGGTGAGGTATGTTGTACTGATCCCAAACCAAAGGTGGCGCCACTCTACTCGGCATGGTATTTCTGGTAAGCGATCATAATTTTAAAAGTACGTGCCTTGTGAGATGTAAATAAACACGTGTTACAGATAAAATTATAGAACTTAATACTTGAAGTTTTTAAATCCCTTTTTTTGTTTAAATTTTTCTAAACATGAAAAATTTAATTAGACTCATTTTATCAACAAACGAAACTTTCCTAATAAAATAAATAGATACCTCTTTTTTTTGGAAATGGTCTGGTTTTTTATTAATCGGTATTCTGTTTACTAACTAGGATCGCTGTGTTTGTTGTTGTATGTTTCACCGTTTCGCTAGTCGTTGCGTGTGTTATGTGCTGCAAGAAGAGCCGAAAGGACGTACTGATAAGACTCAAGCGATCCCTGCCTAATGCTGTCCTTCGAACAAGTAAGCCAAATTTAAATATTTCATTCATTTACGGAGGAATTACGCAGATCATTAATATTTGTTTAAGTCGTTATGCTAACGTATTGCTTCCTATAGAACACAGAAGCCAAGATCTAAGTCGTTACGCTAACGTATTGCTTCCTATCAAGAACCTTAAAGAGGGTTTATTTTCACCAGAAATCCTCATCAATTTAAACCTTAAGGGAACTTGTTTTTCTCTATTAATACTCACTAGCTATCAATTATTTGAACTCATTTCAAAGACAGACAAAAGCAATCTAATGTACGGTATGACAGTGACCTTTACCATACGTACAACAAAATTACTTTAAACCGTATTACTTGTTTGTTTTATTTGAAGTACGTTTTGATTTTATTTCTAAAGATACTCATCTCAACAAATACCGCACTATCAGTTTGAGGTCAAACTTAACCTCTGGCCAATTATAAAACAAACCTTAGAGAAGAAGAGTCGTGAGAACCTAAAAACAGCATTAAGACATTGTTGGTTTTTTTTAGGAAAACAATGAGTATATATTAAAAAGATTTTACTGCCTCACCACGTCGTTACAGTCCTTGTCACCACGTCCAATCATGCTCTAACCTAGACTTTCCCTATCAATACACATTAAGAACCTTCAGGGGGTTTATTTTCACCACAAACCCTCAATTTAAACCTTAAGGGAGCTTGTTTTTCTCTATCAATACTCATCAAGAACCTTAAAGAGGGTTTATTTTCACCAGAAATCCTACACCATTCAGTTGTCTTTCATACACCGGTTTTATTTGTCCAAAAGATTATCATTTTCATCATCGAACCCATTGAGAAAAATACACCCACAAACAGAATACATTTTCCGCAGTTTGCTCTTAGTTTTTAACTCATGATATTAAGTGTTTTTTTTTTAAGGAAGTTTCCTCGTGCATGCCACGTAGACCTAATAGTTTTATGTGAGATATATGATGTTCACATTCGACCTCTCGTTACAAAGTAACATTTTAAAAAACTATAACATCTCCAACCATACCTTTAGTTTCGAATTTCATCTTGAAATAAAAACAACAACAACAACAAAGGAATGTGGTCTCTTATAACATGAAATAAAAAATTCAATATCTTAACATGGAAGCACATAAAAATAGAATTTCGGGGGAGTCGGTTTTTATTGACACACATTCTTCACGTTCTACGCCTAATTGCTGTATTTAACTTCATACTCAAGGTACAATGTCGATAACATTGTTTTTAAAGTATTACTCGAGACACAATATGGATAACATTGTTTTTAACGTATTACTCTAGACACAATATGGATAACATTATTTCTAACGTATTACTCTAGACACAATATGGATAACATTGTTTCTAAAGTATTACTCGAGACACAATATGAATAACATTGTTTCTAAAGTATTACTCTAGACACAATATGGATAACATTGTTTTTAACGTATTACTCGAGACACAATATGGATAACATTGTTTCTAAAGTATTACTCGAGACACAATATGAATAACATTGTTTTTAAAGTATTACTCGAGACACAATATGGATAACATTATTTCTAACGTATTACTCGAGACACAATATGGATAACATTATTTCTAACGTATTACTCGAGACACAATATGGATAACATTATTTC